CTTCACGAATTCAGGAGGACAGAAATCTGTTTTCGGTCCGAGAAGCTTTTTCTATCTGGCCCATCATTTTATGCATTGTTTGTCCTTATATCCTTTCTAGATTAAAAGCTTCAGAGTTAAGATACCACTCTTTCTGTGATCCTTTCCCTTCTGTCAGACAGCCCAGAAAACTCACAGCAATTCCGATCACGAAAGCCTTTGACAACACACTAACAAAATGAATTTCAACAGGGAAAAATGTAATATACTACACTTTGGCAGTAAAAATGAAATAAACAGATATAGGATGGTTGACACTTGGCTTGAAAGCAGTCCGTGTGGAAGGGATTTAGGAGTCTTAGCGGACCACAAACTGAACATGAATCAACAGAGTGGTGCAGCCCCTAAAAAAGGCAATGACATTTTACGCTGGATCCATAGGAGTATAGTGTGGAGATCGAGGGAAGCCATATTCCCACTCTATTCTGCTTTAGTTAGACCTCACCTGGAATAACACTGCGCCCAGTTTTGGACACCAAAATTCAAGGAGGATATGAGCAAGCTGGAACGTATATGGAGAAGCAAGTAAAATGGCCAGAGGTTTGGAAGCCAAGAATCTCTATGAGAAGAGGCTTATGGAGCCAGGTATGTTTAGCTTGGAGAAAAGAAGGCTGAGAAGGGACACGAGAGCCATGTTGAAATATTTGAAGGGATGTCACATTTTCCAGCTCAATTGTTCTATGAATTTTTATTTATTTACAGAATTTATATTCCACCCTTCTCACTCCGCAGGCGACTCAGGGCGGATTGTACACATATATGCTAAACATTCAATGGCAAAGAGACACAACAGATATAGACAGACAGTCAGAAGCTATTTAACTTTTCTGGCCATCAGGGGAGTTGTCGTTTTCATTGTCCATCTGCAACACTGATGAAGTACTTCTGCATTCCCCGCTTGCTTTGCTGGAGTCTTTTTTTTGGTCTCATAAATTAGTTAAATTAGCCTCCCCACACATAGGTGGTACCTAATTTTCCTATTTGACAGATGCAACTGTCTTTCGGGTTGCAAAGGTCAACAACAAGCTACAGAAGCTCACTCCGGCCCGGGCGGGCTGACTTTGAATCTATGACCAATGGCTCAGAGGCACCATGCGCACTGCTGCTATGGCATCTCTTATCGGAGGCGGCCCTAGGTAATTTTCAATGGTAAGCAAACAGTATTTTGGTGCCCCCCGCCCCAAACCAATCACTGATATATATTTTCTGTTTGTCGTGGGAGTTCTGTGTGCCATATTTGGTTCAATTCCATCATTGGTGGAGTTCAGAATGCTCTTTGATTGTAGGTGAACTATACATCCCGGTAACTACAACTTGCATATGTCAAGAGAGATATTGACAAGCTGGAAAGTGTCCAGAGGAGGGCGACTAAAATGATCAAGGGTCTGGAGAACAAGCCCTATGAGGAGCAGCTTAAAGAGCTGGGCATGTTTAGCCTGAAGAAGAGAAGGCTGAGAGGAGATATGATAGCCATTTACAAATATGTGAGAGGAAGCCACAGGGAGGAGGGAGCAAGCTTGTTTTCTGCTTCCCTGGAGTCTAGGACACGGAACAATGGCTTCAAACTACAAGAGAGGAGATTCCATCTGAACATGAGGAAGAACTTCCTGACTGTGAGAGCCGTTCAGCAGTGGAACTCTCTGCCCCGGAGTGTGGTGGAGGCTCCTTGTTAGGAAGCTTTTAAACAGATGCTGGATGGCCATCTGTCAGGGGTGATTTGAATGCAATATTCCTGCTTCTTGGCAGGGGGTTGGACTGATGGCCCATGAGGTCTCTTCCAACTCTTTGTCAAGGTCTATTTTTCCCCAAGAGCGCCTCAAGAGCACCCCTGGGCAAAATCAACTATACTGCAAATGCTTACTTTGCGTAATGGGTTGAGCTGCCCCTGTCTCTTATAATAATAATAATAAAATTTTATTTATACCCCGCCACCATCTCCCCAAGTGACTCGGAGCGGCTTACATGAGGCCAAGCCCGACAACACATCAATAAAACAAAAAAGCAATAAGCAAAAAACAATATAATTAATATAAATCACAAAGAAACAATAACATATCAGGATTTAAAATCCTATGGCTAGGCCAAATGTTTTATTTATATATATATATATATATATATATATATATATATCTTGATGCTTCAAAGAAGCCTTCCGTTGGCAACTCTTCGAAACAGGAGGTGCAAAAATATGTCTCTTTGGTCTGACCCAGCAGAGCTCTTACGCTTCTACTGAGAGTAAAAAAATAATAATACATCTGCTAGTTTCCCACTTGCCTCCCACATGAATGTTTTCTGCTCTAAAGCACATGATAGTAGCAGGTGTCTCATTTATTTCTGCAAGAGCAACAGTATTTTTTCACTGATTTCCTTATTTCTTTCTCATAAAAAGGGGAGAGTTAAATATAGAGTCTTTCACTAGTACTATGGTGCTGAAAACCAGGCAAAAGTAGCACTTACATATAGGGACTCACACTGAGATGCAAAAGAATACAAGCAAGGCTTACAAGACTGAACGAACAAGGATCAGCGTGCAAACTAAAATAGCTATTGGTAAAATATAAGCCCAATTTAGAGGAACTTGGGCTGTGTGTATGTGGGGCACAAGAGTAAAATGTACTCATTTTAACTAGGGCGGCATACAGAGAGCATACAACTCCCATGTTACGCCAGCTCCACTTGCTGCCAGTTTGCTACTGGACACAATTCAAAGTGCTGGCTTTGGCCTAGAAAGCCCTAAATGGCCCTGGCCCAAATTACCTGTCCGAACACATCTCTCCCCATGAACCATCGCAGAGATTAAGATCCTCCGGGGAGGCCCTGCTTTCCGTCCCGCCATTGTCACAGGCACGATTGGTGGGGATGAGAGACAGGGCCTTCTCAGTGATGGCTCCCCGGCTATGGAACTCCCTTCCTGCTGAGATCAGGTCGGCCTCCTCTCTCCTGTCCTTTAGAAGGATGGTATATGCCGCCCCCCCTTCCTTTTGTGGGAAGGCTTCATTCCACAACCCTCGCTATAATGAGTCCTCCTCTGCAAATAATCTGTTTCTCTTTTATCTCGCCCGAGTTTTTAATTAGTTTTAATTTTTGTGATTTGATGTGCCTGATTGTTTACTCTCTGTTGTAAACAGCATGTGGACAATTTCAACAGAAAGGAAGAAACCATGAAAATGAACAAGATCTGGCTACCAGTATTAAAAAACTCAAAAATTACAACAGCAAAACAGAGAGTAAACAATCAGGCACATGAAATCACTCTCAACAAAAGATTCACCCCAGGCACTTCCAAGCCATTAAATGCTAATCAAGGTGGTCAGTTGAAACATTCACACCTAGCTCCAACAGACAAGAGTCCTTTGTCCCACCCTGGTCATTCCACAGATATATAAACCCATTTTCCTACTTCCAACAGACCTCACTACCTCTGAGGATGCTTGCCATAGATGCAGGCGAAACGTCAGGAGAGAATGCCTCTACAACATGGCCATATAGCCCGAAAAAACCTACAACAACCCAGTGATTCCGGCCATGAAAGCCTTCGACAATACAATAGTAAGATTGATAGTTTTCTTTCAGTAAGCCGGTCTGAGTCCCTTTATGGAGGTTGAGAAGATCGGGATATAAAAGTTTTAAATAAATATTTTAAAAATATTTTAAATAAATAATTTTCTTTTCTTTTTTTTTTGGACCATTGTAATTATTGCAACTCATTTAGCCATGAAATGTGCACAATTAGTTCATTCTACAGCTAAGAAGTTTCTTAGTGCCTGTAATTCTTCACTGCTAGTCAAACTGTTCAACATCTTTATTAATGACTTAGATGAAGGGTTAGAAGGCAGGATCATCAAGTTTGCAGACGACACCAAATTGGGAGGGATAGCCAATACTCCAGAGGACAGGAGCAGGATTCAAAACATCTTGAGAGATTAGAGAGATGGGCCAAAACTAACAAAATGAAGTTCAACAGTGACAAATGCAAGATACTCCACTTTGGCAGGAAAAACGAAATGCAAAGATACAGAATGGGGGACAATGCCTGGCTCGAGAGCAGTACGTGTGCAAAAGATCTTGGAGTCCTCGTGGACAACAAGTTAAACATGAGCCAACAATGTGATGTGGCGGCAAAAAAAGCCAATGGGATTTTGGCCTGCATCAATAGGAGCATAGTGTCTAGATCTAGGGAAGTAATGCTACCCCTCTCTATTCCGCTTTGGTTAGACCACACCTGGAATATTGTGGTCCTTCTGGGCACCACAATTGAAGAGAGATATTGACAAGCTGGAATGTGTCCAGAGGAGGGCGACTAAAATGATCAAGGGTCTGGAGAACAAGCCCTATGAGGAGCGGCTTAAGGAGCTGGGCATGTTTAGCCTGAAGAAGAGAAGGCTGAGAGGAGATATGATAGCCATGTATAAATATGTGAGAGGAACCACAGGGAGGAGGGAGCAAGCTTGTTTTCTGCTTCCTTGGAGACTAGGACGCAATGGAACAATGGCTTCAAACTACAAGAGAGGAGATTCCATCTGAACATGAGGAAGAACGTCCTGACTGTGAGAGCCATTCAGCAGTGGAACTCTCTGCCCGGAGTGTGGTGGAGGCTCCTTCTTTGGAAGCTTTTAAACAGAGGCTGGATGGCCATCTGTCAGGGGTGATTTGAATGCAATATTTCTGCTTCTTGGCAGAATGGGGTTGGACTGGATGGCCCATGAGGTCTCTTCCAACTCTTTGATTCTATGATTCTATGAAACGGCCCTGCTTCAAATATTAATCAAATGTTATTCCTTGCCTCTCAGATCCCCCTATTTATTCCGTATACTGAGGCAAAACAGATCTTATTAACCCCTTTTAAAGCATCCACAAAGAGTGAAAAATAAGTTGCGCTTTAGACATTCAACACTAATGCACAATAACCCCACAGTTGCTTTGAACAGTCAGAGATATTGCTAAAATTATTTTTCTCTCACCTCAGCTTTGCGGATGTTTTCTCTGGTTTCGTCTATTTTCTGTTCCAGTTCTGCTCGGAGCTGTTCAGACGCCGCCGGCCCATGGCATTCCAATTCCTCAAGAGCCTGGCAGGGAGGAGGAAAAATTTGGGTGCATTTAAAATACTGATTACTGAGTGAATGAAAGTACTCTAAAACTTCCCTTGCTTCCAGAAAGAATGCAGAGCTGTCCACTAAGTCCTTGCAGAGAGGTCTTTATATGCTGACACTTGCAGATAAAGCTTCATCATGATTTACTGTTAATCACAAACAGGAAGGACGAAAGTACGCTCCTTCCTGTGGCTGTCCCTTGCTCTCTAGACATTTGGCTTCAATTATCCTGATCATTGCAGAGTTTTAGAATCCAGGAATCTGTTGCCAAAGGTTAGCATTCTCACCATCCCAATTTGTGGAGGTACACGGCAAAAGCACCCTCGCCAACGTTGCTCCAAACAGTGTTGTATCTGAGGCAAGCTTTTGTGAAACTGTTTTTATCAGTCCACACACTCTCTTTCCAGAGAAAGAAAATATGCCATGCAGAAGATCATTAGAAGTTTACTCTTTGTAATATAGAGCAACATATATACAGTCATGAGAACAGTTGCATTGGGTTGTTGTAGGTTTTTTCGGGCTATATGGCCATGTTCTAGAGGCATTCTCTCCTGATGTTTCACCTGCATCTATGGCAAGCATTCTCAGAGGTTGTGAGGTTACATCAGCATTTTCTCCTAACGTTTCATTCACATCTATGCCAGGCATCCTCAGCATTTCTGACAGGTGTATTATTATTGTATTGTCGAAGGCTTTCATGGCTGGAATCACTAAGTTCTTGTGGGTTTTTTTGGGCTATATGGCCATGTTCTAGAGGCATTTTTTCTGACGTTTCGCCTGCATCTATGGCAAGCATCCTCACCTTTGAGGATGCTTGCCATAGATGCAGGCGAAACGTCAGGAGAAATGCCTCTAGAACATGGCCATATAGCCCGAAAAAACCCACAAGAACTTTGTATTATTATTATTATTATTATTATTATTATTATTATTATTAGTATTATTAACTTTATTTGTACCCCGCTAGCATCTCCCGAAGGACTCGATGCGGCTTACAAAGGCCAAGGCCAACAATAAAACAGCAATATARCAATTACATATAAATCAAAGCAAATCAAAAAACATAAAGCAATAACCATAAACAATAAAACAACACACCGTGATACAATAAAACTAGGCTGGGCAAATGTAATGGGTACAGATTAAAAAGTGCTGAGTGTGCTGAGTGATATATAAGGATTTTGGATAGGTGCAATGTGCGGACAATCTTAATTTCTAATAAAGTGCTTTTGGGACTTTYTTGCTAAGATTTTCCTATTCTGGAAAAGCACACCGGAATAGCCAGGTCTTCRAGCTCTTCCTAAAGACTGCCAACGTAGGGGCTTGTCTGATGTCCTTGGGGAGGGAGTTCCAGAGTCGGGGGGCTACCACAGAGAAGGCCCTGTCCCTCGTCCCCACCAGCCGCACTTGCGACGCAAGTGGGATCGTGAGCAGGGCCTCTCCAGATGAATGAAGAGAGCGTGCGGGTTCATAGACGGAGATGCGGTCACRCAGGTAGGCAGGTCCCAAACCGTTAAAGGCTTTGTAGGTGAGCACCTGCACCTTGAATTGAGACCGGAAAATGAACGGCAGCCAGTGGAGCTCCTTGAACAGGAGGGTTGACCTCCCTCTGTAAGGAGCAGTGTATGTTTTAATAATAATATAATGTAATAATAGTATGCTGCCTTGCCAGCAAATAATAATAATAATAATAATAATAATAATAATAATAATAATAAAAATTATTATTATTATTATAGCATGTCCCCTTGTGAGACAATAGTAATAATATAATATTATAATAGTAGTACGCTGCCTTATCAGCCAATAATAATAATATAATAGTATGCTGCCTTGTCAGCCAATAATAATAATATAGTAGTAGTAGTATACCTCCTTGTCAGCCAATAATACTAATAATATATTATAATAATATATAATAATAGTATGCTGCCTTGTCAGCCAATAGTAATAACAATACACCTGCCACCACCTCTTCTTCTTGTGACACCTTGTTAGCCAATAACGATACCTTATGATTCCTCTAGTAATAGGGCCTCTTAATAATAATTAATTAATTAATAATAGGGATGCCACCTATGATGTTATGGTTGGGGGTCACCACAACATGAGGAACTATATTAAGGGGTTGTGGCATTAGGAAGGTGGAGAAACACTGTTCTAAGACAAGGAATTATCTGAGATAGTTTTGCCAGTTTCTTCCTCCAAAATATCACCTACAGCACCTCCTATTCGTTGGTGGTCTCCCATCCAGGTGCTAACCAGACTTGCGTAACTTACAAAATCAGACAGGATCTGGTGCCTTAAGGATATTTTCGGATGCTTCCGACACTCCTCTTTACTCACTTGTGTGAAAATGAGTGCCTGAGAGCAACAACAAGCAGAAAGTCCACACGTTCTTCTTAAAGTAATCCCAAGGCAATGTGCACTGGGAACACCCAGTCAATGAGGTGCAGAAAAGAGAAAAAGGTCTCAAGGTCTTGGATTGATTTCACTTTGGTGCCTTTAAGAATACAACCAACCCTTTTCCAACTCCCTGGGACTCTGCCTCTTTTCTGCACCTCTTCTTACGGAGACCAACCAAGGACCATGGAGCACCTTTCCCTTGCAGCTGCTGCTCCTTTGACTCTCAACCCACCCGTTGGCTGTGAATGATGTTTTTGTGTTCCCGTGCCACACGCGTGGCCCATTTCCGGGCTTCCTTGTTCAGACTGTGCTCTTCTGTTGTTCCAGTCTCAGATTCCAACTGCCGGCTCTGAAACACACAAAAAGGAAGAGAGTGAATGGTTGCATTGCTTGGACCTGATCCCCCACCCATCATGCCCTTGGTATGTGAACACCTGACAAGGGTTGTTTTTTTCTATAGTCCAAAAAAATCCCTTTTAATTCTCTTTTTGAACAGGGATCCTTGTTGATATGAAGAGTTTTGTGGCTCACTGAAGAGGAACAAAACTTATTCTCAGTGATTTTGAAGCAAAATAATTAAACATGGTAAAGATAAGATGCCTCAAACAGCCAATTTTGGAAGGTGTTAATACTGAGAGACTTACTGTATATACTTGAGTATAAGCCTAGTTTTTCAGCCCTTTTTTTAGGCTGAAAAAGCCCCCCACAGCTTATACTCGAGTCAAGGTTATTTATTATTTTACTCTGTTATTACTTTTTTATTACATTTATTAGGAGCCCCTGGTGGCACAATGGGTTAAACCCATTTGCCGGCAGAACTGATGACCGACAAGTCGGAGGTTCGAATCTGACGAGAGCGTGGATGAGCACCCTCTGTCAGCTCCAGCTCCCCCTGTGGGGACATGAGGGAATCCTCCCACAAGGATGGCAAAACATCAAAACATCTAGGCATCCCCTGGACAACATCCTTGCAGACGGCCAATTCTCTCGCACCAGAAGCAACTTGTAGTTTCCCGTCACTCCTGACATGAAAAAAAAATCATTTTGCTCTATTATTATTATTACATTTACATTATTTTACTCTATTATTATTATTACATTTTAACATGTTTTTAACTTAATGTTCTATTTACTGGGTTGTTGTAGGTTTTTTTCAGGCTATGTGGCCATGTTCTAGAGGCATTTCTTCTGATGTTTCGCCTGCATCTATGGCAAGCATCCTCAGAGGTAGTGAGGTAGTTCTATTTACTGTTTTAAACTGTTGTTATATGTGTTTATATTTGTATTATGTTGCGTCATTGAATTGTCTCCAGTTTGTAAGCTGCCCTGAGTCCCCTCTCGGGAGGTGAGAAGGGCGGGATAGAAATAGTGGAAATAAATAAATAAATAATTTTACTCTATTTGTTATTATTATTATTTGAAACACAACAAGATGAGTCCACAGCAGACACTCTGCTGGCTGTTGTATTGGATCACACGTCGAACACTTCCCAAGTGTCTAGGACTAATCTATTTATTATTATTATTATTATTATTATTATTATTATTATTATTATTATTACATTTATTAGCACTGGGATTGTGGCGCAGCTGGCTGAGTGTCAGCTGCATTAAGATCACTCTGACCAGAAGGTCATGAGTTCGAAGCCAGCCCAGGTTGGAGTGAGTGTCCGGCCAATTGTGTAGCATGTTGTCGACCTTTGCAACCTGAAAGACAGTTGCATCTGTCAAGTAGGAAAATTAGGCAATACAAAGACTCCAGCAAAAAGCACTCCAGCAAAGCATGCGGGGAATGCGGAAGTACTTCATCAGTGTCGCAAATGGACAATGAAAGCGATAGCTCCCCTGGCAGCCAGAAAAAGTTAAATAGTCTCTGTGTATGTCTATATACGTTGTATGTCTAATTGGCATTGAATGTTTGCCATATATCTGTACATTGTAATCCGCCCTGAGTCCCCTGCGGGGTGAGAAGGGTGGAATATAAATACTTTAAATAAATAAATAAATATTATTTTACTCTCTTTATTATTATTGGAAGGATACATAAGCACATTTACATTGAAGAAGTTTAGAATAATCGTTTGATCAGAGTTGGGCAGTCTTATCTCAAATTACAATTTTATGTACATATGAAGAACATTTAATCTCCTGATGCCTCGATCAATGCAATTTTATTGGTATCTATTTTTATTTTGAAATTGACCAGTAGCTGCTGCATTTCCCACCCGCGGCTTATACTCGAGTCAATACGTTTTTTCAGATTTTTGGGGTAAAATTAGGTGCCTCGGCTTATATTTGGGTCGGCTTATACTCGAGTATATATGGTCAACTGTATTTTGCAGTGCATTTTTCAAAAGGTCATAGCTTTACAACCAGCCTTAGACTGATAAACTCTGAAACAACAAAAAAACAGACAGGATTGCATTGCGATCTTGCATACTTACCAAACTAGCTCATGCATTTTACCCAGAATTAAAAGAAAACGTTGTTTCCTGCCCCGCAGCCCGATAAATACCAGCAACTGAGAAGCACATGCAATGGTCAATTTGTGTGTGGCTCATTACAGGATGGTTTCTGAAGCATGACTCCAATCCCGACAGCCCCAACAGCAATGCGCCTATGTTTTGCAAATGATCATCAAAGGCTAGAGCAGGGCATGCTTTGGTTGGGCTGTATGATAGCAGGGCTCTATACTGAACCCTGGGTTCATTTCAGAAATATAAAAGGGTATTCGTAAGAAAGAAAGACCATATAAAAAACAAGAAATAATATCTATTTCAGTGTGTAATTTTTTTGTAAGCATTACAAATAAAATGGCAGCCTGCCTTATCACGATAGCTGACAGTCTCTTCTCTATGATCGGATTATTTTAGCATCAGGGGTGACCATGAATCCAATTTTGCTAGAGGATTTCCCCTCTAAAATACGACGGGCATTCATTAAAGATTTCCCCTGACCCATTTCTATTTATCTCAGGACGCTGAAACTGCACATGTGCAATGATATCAGTCTCTATAGGTTATGTGCCAATTTACAACCCAGAACTGAGAACGGTCTTGATTTTACAGATGCTGAAGAGGTGTGAGGTTTGATAATGAACCCAGTGGAATACAGAGCAGTCACCAAGTTCCTTTCCTTGAAAGGTTGAACACCAAAGGAGACGTTCAATGAGATGAAAGAAGTTGATGGGGATGATTCCCCATCATATGATGGAGTCAAGAACTGGTGTAGCCAATTCAAATAACTCAAATTCCAGGACTTCGGTGCAAATAACTCCAATTCCAGGACAACCCCATTCTACTACTGATGAACAAAATCTAACTAGTAGAGGTCACCATTTGGAAAATCGTCGCGTAACCATTTTCCACCTAGCCCAAAATGTCAAGATGAGTGTGAGGTCCATGGAAAAATCATCCAAGACCATCTTTACATGCATAAGATATTGCTCACTGGGGGCCCCAGCTGCTCACACCTTTCCAGAAGCAGGAACGAGTAGAAAGCACTCAGGCTCTATTGATGATGTGCCATGGAAACCAGGAGGACTTTTTCAACAGACTGATCACACAAGAGAAAGCTGGGTCCATCACTCTGATCCTGAGACTAAAGTTCAGTCGACGCAATGGAAGCAACATCACTCACTGCTTCCAAAGAAGGCACATGCTCAATTCTCGGCAGGCTAGGTCATGCTCATAGTATTTTGGGGCCAGCACGGAGTAGCACTGATGGATTTCTTAGCAAAGGGGACCTCTATGATTCTATGATCACTGGAGCATACTATGCTTCACTGCTATGGAAATTGCGGGAGGCCATCAAAACCAAGGGATGTGGCATGTTCACCAAAGGTGTCCACCTTCTGCAAGACAATGCACTACTTCACAACTCAAATGTTGCCCCAATGGAAGAAGCATGCACCTGTGGCTTTGAAATTCTACTGCTGTAAATTGTAAAAGGATCAACACCAAGTGTGTGTTAAAGAAAACCTTATACTGCTAATCATCATGTGCAGCTACTAATTTAGGTCAGCTAGTAAATTTGAGCCACACCCGGTGGGGTATAACTGTATGTGTTTTAGAATACAGTTCCGCTTTTGCTCTGAGGAGCTTATGCTCACAGCATTTTGCTCAACCATTTGCGCTGCTCATTTGAAGGAAGATGAAGAAGCTAAGCTCTTTGCATTCTAGGTTCTTGTGGGTTTTTTCGGGCTATAGGGCCATGTTCTAGAGGCATTTCTCCTGATGTTTCGCCTGCATCTATGGCAAGCATCCTCAGAGGTAGTGAGGTGCATTCTGTTTGCATTCTGTTATTCTTACAAGGACTATGTAAGTTTGTTGCACTGTTTATTTTGTATGCAACACTGCAAGTTTATGTTTTGACTCTACTGACAAGAGTAAAGTTTTCTGGGTTGTTGTAGGTTTTTCCGGGCTATATGGTCATGTTCTAGGGGCATTTTCTCCTGACGTTTCGCCTGCATCTATGGCAAGCATCCTCAGAGGTATTGAGGATGCTTGCCATAGATGCAGGCGAAACGTCAGGAGAAAATGCCTCTAGAACATGGCCATATAGCCCGGAAAAACCTACAACAACCCAGTGATTCCGGCCATGAAAGCCTTCGACAATACAGTAAAGTTTTCTGTTCTTTTTCCTCTTGCTTTTGTGCAAAATTACTGTGTCTTTTGCATTGGACCAGACTAAATTCCTAAGAAAGCGTAACATTATTCACCCGAACTTGCATCATCGTTTCTGAAGTGCAAGCATTTTTCGGATGATGAGACTCTGATTTCCGAAGTCACAATGTGGCTCTTGGAGCAACATGTCGACTTCTACAAGTGAAGTGTTGACAGTTGCTTAAAAAGATGGGAGAAGTGTGTGTCCTTAGGTGGCACCAATGGAGAGAAAGACTCATAACTGGGCCAAGTTTCATTGATCTCAGTCCACAGGAAGTGGGTCAAGGGAAATCTTTCATGAACGACCCTCGTATTTACACAGAGAAAAGTAAAATGTCACTGTCTTTCAATCAAACTTTGGATGGAGGCTACTTGGTGTGTGTCCTGCCTCTTCCTCCAGTCGAAGTTGCTCTTTAACACATGGCCACAGTCTCCATCGTACATCATAGATAGAATAATAGAATCAAAGAGTTGGAAGAGACCTCATGGGCCATCCAGTCCAACCCCATTCTGCCAAGAAGCAGGAATATTGCATTCAAATCACCCCTGACAGATGGCCATCCAGCCTCTGTTTAAAAGCTTCCAAAGAAAGAGCCCCCACCACACTCCGGGGCAGAGAGTTCCACTGCTGAACGGCTCTCACAGTCAGGAAGTTCTTCCTCATGTTCAGATGGAATCTCCTCTC